GAGCCCGTGGTTGCTGCTCCTTTGAACCCCGGGGAGAGGGGCAGGGAAGGGACAGGGAGCCACCAAGCAGGGACAGGAGGGGAGGGACAAAGGGACAAAGGACACCTGGATGGCCCAATGCCGCCTCAGGGGTAGAGGGCATCCTTTGGATCTGCCAATCACTCGAGGCCTTCTGGAATTCCAGGACTGACAGACAGCGCTGGGAGGGGAAAGGAGAGGGGACTGACACACCTGTGAGGGAATGATCAGGTTCTGAGGTAAACCCTGAAATCACAATGCAACAGAGGGGACCTCATGGAGACTCCCAGCTCCCCAGTCAGCAGGGATTTACCTGCCAGATGCTGTTCCTAGGCTGGTATGCCAACCCTGCCTCTGGGAGGGCAGTGCACTCTGGCAGGAGATGCTGGATGCGCTTCCCATTCAGGGTGCAGCTGGGACAAGGTTTTACTGCTCCATGTCTCAGTTTACTTCTGGGTGAAAAGATCCACCTGGCAGGGTGTGCAGAATTAATTTGGTTTGAAACTGTGGTGGTTTATTGGGGAAGGAGACATCCTGTGAGACAGCAGACTGGGCCTCTAGTGTGTGCAGTGCCCTTGAATGCTGCTGGCATGCAACCATGGGAGCCACAGCTCCTGTCCTTCAGGGTAACAGTGGGTCTGGCAGGGCCTGGGGGATCTCACATGAGACAGCTTCCCAGGGCACTTGGGGTTTTTGGGGATCAGATGCTTTCACATGGAATTCATCTGGCCAGGGAGAGCTTTGTCCCAGCTGCAGGTTGGATCATGCAGTGGAGAAAATCAGCAAAACTGGGAAAAGTTCAGGAGTCTTCTTGCTGCTAGGTTTAGAGACTGTTGAGCTAGATGGCCTCCCCAGCCCACAGAGTGGACAGCTTCAGGATGTTTGAGCACACTGAACATTTCCCTTGTCACCAAGTCTCATCCTGTGCTGGTGTCTCTGTCCCCAGATTCTTGGATACTTTGACATTGGTTTCACCTCTGTCTTCACAGTTGAAATTGTCTTGAAGGTGAGTCCCTGGTCTTGCCATGAGCGTGGCCTAGCACATAGGTCTGTGTGGATGTCATGGGTTAGTCAGAGAGAGAAACAGGTAACTTTGCCAGGCATCATCCTAGGAAAGTTGTGAGAATGCTCAGAGAAAGAGTTAAAACAATTTTTATCCTAATCTCTACACCTAGTATTTCTAAACATGTAGAATATGTATACATGATGTTTATAAAAAAATATTTTACCAAAAAGTGTTATTCCTAACTAACCAATAGTATAAGGAGTGTTATTTATAAACCAGTCAAGTTCTAAGTGAACAATCCTACCTATAAATATGCAAAGTTCCTAATAAATCTCACTTTGTACCTTCTAATAATAAGAGTCAATGTCACCTTTCCTCAGCCATTCGTAACTCAACGGCGACAGGTTTAGACATTTGTAGCCATGGACACTCCACTCCTCAGGCATCCATGCTCTTGAAGGTCTCAGTGAGGAGAAACTTCCAGGTCTAGACTTTTGTGGCCATGGACACTCTTAGGCATCAATACCAGCACTTTCACTCCTAACCCTACTAAGTTCTCTTCTTACTAACTATCCTAGAGGGAGCAGTAGTGATAATCCAAGCCTGTGTCTTTGTGCTCCTACTGAGCCTCTACCTACAAGAAAATATCTAACTGTCAATGGCACACCAAGCACATTCTCAGCACATAGCAGAGCCTAGCCCCTGACCTCCTAACCACCTCAGGACTAACATGATGATGATATGAACATGATATGATTCCACTACACTCCCACTCCTCAGGCATCCATGCTCCTGAAGGTCTCAGTGAGGAGAAACTTCCAGCTGATCCTCCTGGAGAGTTCATTCATGCAGTCTGGGTGGTGTGTGACCTGTCCCAGAGGCCGTGTGTCCTCTCCAGTGAGGTCAGGGTCACCAGCATTTTTATTCTGACATGCCATTAAGATAAAGTGGCAAAGAGAAACCAGTGAAAATCTGTGGACAAAAGTCACATGTTGTTCCACTCCAAGGGTCTTTGCTATTCTCCTCTTTAATTTGCTGACTGACTGAGAGGGTTTTGTCTGCAACCAGTGCTGCACAGAGCATTTCCACCTGAAGCCAGGTTCCTGCCTGGCTGCAGAGGTCTGAGCAGGACAGGGTCCCTTGTGCCCATTCCCTTGGAGGAACCATTCCCCTGATCCCTGCCCAGCCTCTCTCCTATCTCCTTCTGCTCCCCAGATGACAACCTACGGTGCTTTCCTGCACAAAGGCTCCTTCTGCAGGAACTCCTTCAACATCCTTGACTTACTGGTCGTCGCTGTCTCCCTCATCTCCATGGGATTTGAGTAAGCACCTCCATGTGCCACAAGGTGGGCCCTGGGGTGTTCAGGCTGGTGAGGCAGCTGGGGATGGTGGCTGGAGGAGGAGCAGCCAGCCCAGTTGCTGCCCATGTGCCCATCATGTCGTGTTTGGGGGACATGGACAACTGGGACCATGCCCATCTGTGATGGTGTTCACAGGGGTTTTTGGTTGAGGGAAGAGACGAGGATCTAACTCCAAGTTTCAGAAGGCTTGATTTATTATTTTATGATGTGTATTACATTAAAACTATACTAAAAGAATAGAAGAAAGGATTTCATCAGAAGGCTAGCTAAGAATAGAATAGCAAAGAATGATAACAAAGATTTTTGGCTCGGCTTTCTGTCCGAGCCAGCTGGGCTGTGATTGGCCATTAATTAGAAACAACCAACATGGGCCAATCAAAGATCCACCTGTTGCATTCCACAGCAGCAGATAACCATTGTTTACATTTTGTTCCTGAGGTCTCCAGCTTCTCAGGAGGAAAAATCCTAAGGAAAGGATTTTTCATAAAAGATGTCTACGGCAACCATCATGTCATGTTTAGGGGACATGGACAACTGGGAGCATGCCCACAAACTGGTCAAGGAGGTCAAAGGACACTCCTTGAGTGTCAAACATCTGTGGGTAGAAATTAATTTTGGATCTGCTTCCTCCAGCTGCCAGTGTCATTGGCCCTGTGTGGGGTGGTGGCTGGTGACATCTGCACTCTGCCATCCCCTGTCCCTCGCTGCTGGCCCCAGCCTGCCCTCCTTGGCTGCTTGGTGGGGCTGTGCCAGCCTAGCCTGGGCAGGGAAGTGGCCCCAGCTCATCTGTGCCTTCCTGCCCAGGTCCAGCACCATCTCTGTGGTGAAGATCCTGCGGGTGCTGAGGGTGCTGAGGCCTCTGCGAGCCATTAACAGGGCAAAGGGGCTGAAGGTGAGTGAGGGGCTGGGAGAGGGGACCCCCTCCCAGGGCAGTCCCACCTGGAGATTGTGTGGCAGCCATTGTGCCTGTTCCCAATTCCCACCACCCATCTGTGGGAGGGCTCTGCCCAATCCCTCTGCTCTGGCAGGCTCCCACTCTTCCTGGAGAGGGAGGGTGTGGGACACAGAGCTGTGGTCACATCTGCATTGTTCTCCCCCTCTGCAGCACGTGGTCCAGTGCGTGTTCGTGGCCATCAAGACCATTGGTAACATCGTGGTTGTCACGACCCTGCTGCAGTTCATGTTTGCCTGCATTGGAGTTCAGCTCTTCAAGGTGAGCTCAGCTGGGCAAGAGGGACCTTCTGCTCAAGCACATCCTGGCCAGGCTCTCCTAGACATCACCTTGAGGATGGTGCCTGCAGTGCTGGGTCAGCAGAGCCTATGTTCTCTGTGGTCTGAGAGAGGAGCCACAGAAGAGCCTGCAGTGAGAGGAGGGCAGGAAGCACCCAGGGTACTGTCAGGTCCAGGCAGCACCTCTAAAGGGCTGCCTCACCTCCCTTCGTGCCTCAGATTCCTCTTTCTAGGGCAGGAGGCTTTTCTGGCTGATTTCCTCTGTGCTTTGGTTGTGAAGGGTTCCTTTCTCACAGCACTGCTCCTGCTCTCTGGGCCTTGGCTGCTCTAAGGCAGAGCTGGCCCTGGCTGAGCTCAGTTTTGTTCTAATAACTGTGCTTAAACTCTGATCTGATGTTGAAAGAGCTTCCAGGACAGCCAGCAGACTGAGCAGAGCTGCCAGTACACCTTAGCTTTTAGTTAATTCCCTGGGTACTCCTTTCTCCCCTATTTCTCAGACAGTTGACTCCCAGGTAGGGTGAGCCAGGCAGGCCCCAGCTCAGGGCTGTGGAAGGTTTGTTCCCATCTCCAGGCAGCGTTTCTTAATCTCAGCCTGGGATTGACCTCAGGTCGGCCATGCCTCTGGAAATGCCTTGTGAACTGGTTTGTTTGGCAGGCACAGTGGGGAGGGCCAGGGTCTGCATTGAGGTGGTGAGGGGGCACTGACTGAGGGCTCGGAAAAAGTCAAAACTCCCCAGGGCTTCTAAAGTCAAAGCACCACCATGACCTCTTCTGCTGTCTGTTGGATGCAGGGCAAGTTCTACAGGTGCACAGACCCATCCAAGCTGACAGAGAAGGAGTGCAGGTAAGAGCTCCCTGCAGCTCCCAGCTGGGCAGTGGCCAGGGCTGGGAGCTGGGGGGATGTGGTGGGGAATGCTTGTGTTCCTGCATGGGAATGCTGCATCCAAAATGTGAACCTGAGGTGTCATCCTGTTCTCCCTGTCCCTGGGTATTGGAATATTATCAATATAGTGTATGGGACGTGCCTGAGCTTGTCTGTCCCTTGCTGCTGAACCAAATAGTGGCACTGTGGTGTTTCACCCCACAGACACTTTTGGCTGGCTGGGTGTGTGGTGTTTCGCCCCACAGACACTTTTGGCTGGCTGGGTGTGTGGTGTTTCACCCCACAGACATTTTGGGCTGGCTGGGTGCTGCACTGGGCCCGTGGGGACAAATCCAGGCCTGCAGGAGCTCTGGTGGTGCTGGGATGGAGCTTCCCCCCATAACAGGGGCTGCTCCTCAGGTTTCCCTCTGTGGAGAAGCTTTAAGGTGATGGTGAAGGAAAGGAGTCGGTTCTGATGGAGGGTTTGGACGCAGAGCTTTATTCTGGCCCACTGGCCTCTGAATGCAGCACCAGCTCCAACAGAACTCCCTGAGCCCGTGGTTGCTGTTCTTTGAACCCTGGGGAGAGGGCAGGGAAGAGGTAGGGAAGCCACCAAGCAGGGACAGGAGGGGAGGGACAAAGGGACAAAGGACACCTGGATGGCCCAATGCCCCCCAGAAGTACAGGGCATCCTTTGAATCTGCCACTCAAGGCCCTTCTAGAATTCCAGAGTGACAGACAGTGCTGGGAGGGGAAAGGAGAGGGGACTGACACACCTGGGAGGGAATGATCAGGGGAGGGACCCGGGGTTCTGAGGTAAACCCTGAAATCACACCGCATTGGGGAAAATCAGGAACCAGCACAGGGCTGTGCTCCCCTCCCAGGGACCAAGCAGGGCCAGGCCAGTGGCCTGCCCTGTGAGCTCTGTGTCCCCTCTGCTGCAGGGGTCAGTTCATCAACTACGTGGACGCAGACCCCACACAGATCGAGGTCCAGGATCGTGTCTGGCTGCACAGCGACTTCCACTTCAATGATGTCTTCTCAGCCATGATGTCTCTGTTCACTGTCTCCACCTTCGAGGGCTGGCCAGAGTGAGTCTGCTGGGGAAAGGTCTGTGCTGGGAGCAGGGCATTGCCATGGGGTCTTGGTTTGAACAGCCAGGTGTCTGCTAAGGAAGGCAGGAGACTTCCCGAAAATGGAAAATGTAAACCCCCTCCCTCTGAATTGTTATAATTTTGAAATTAAGGGACTTCCAAGCAAAGGTATGGGAATAGGAATAACAGTTCTTTAATAGGAAAATTAAAAATATAAATGCAATCGTACAAAGGAAAACCACTGCCAGAGTCAGAACAGGAGCTGACCCCCTGTGGAAACACAGGGTCTGCTAAGGAGGCTAGGAGCCTGCCCTGAAATGGAAAATGTAAACCCTCTCCCTCTGAATTATTATAATTTTGAAATTAAGGGGCTCTCAGGCAAAGATATTGGAATAGGAATAACAGTTCTTTACTAAGAAAATTAAAATACAAATGCAACAGTAAAAGCAAAAAACCCCCAGGGGCAGAGTGAGAACATGCCCTGTCCTCCTGTGTGTCAGGGGGTGTCCCAGCCCCATCCCATGGGGGCTCAGCCCTCCTGCAGTGCCAGCTGTGGCTCTGCTGCAGCACGGATCCTGCACAAGGGGGGAGTTTTCCTCTGCAGCTCCAGGGCTGCTGCAGAGGGCCTGGGCTCTCTCTGGCCATCCAGGGCAGCAGAAAGCTGCTCCTCTGGCAATGCAGAGGGCAAAGGCTGCTGTGCTGTGCCAGGCTCAGATTGGATCCAGGTAGGAATGCTTGGCTCCTCCCCTGGGCGGAGCATCTCCCCATGGGATGGTGGGATTGGATCAGCCCTGCAGGGACACTCACTGGCCATGGACAGAAGATAATTAATAAATAATGGCCCATTAACAGCAGAGATCTCCTGGAGGGAGGATTGGCTGTGGGAGAGATAAAGAAAAAACTGTCCCATGAACAGCAGAGAACTGCCTCACCTCTGACAGATGGTGATAGAATACATACCCCCATTTCCAACCTGAGACACATGGGCCTTGGCCGGGGTAAAGAAAGAAGAGCTGTCCAGGGTGAGAAGCAGGACCAGTGCCCTGGCAGTGGCTGTGGAGCTGGCAGGGTTACCCAGGCAGTCCTGTCCCACCATTCTTGGATGTCCCCAAAGCTCTCTGCAAGAGGAGTCATGGTCTTTCCCTCCAGTTAGGGTTTCTGTTGCCTTGATTTCCGTTCTGTAGGCTGCTGTACATGGCCATTGACACCAATGCTGAGGATGCAGGCCCTATCTACAACTACCGGGTGGAGATTGCAATGTTCTTCATCATCTACATCATCCTCATTGCCTTCTTCATGATGAATATCTTTGTGGGCTTTGTCATCGTCACCTTCCAGGAGCAAGGGGAGAATGAGTACAAGAACTGTGAGCTGGACAAGAACCAGGTAATGGAGCTGCTGGAACAGGGCAGGGAGGACCAGCCCTAGGGCTGGCACTGCTGGGGTGGCTGATTTGGATGCGCCCCTCTTTGTGGTGACGCTGTGACACAGATGGTTTGAACCTGCTCCAGGCCTGTTTGCTGCTGGGGCAGGCCAGCTGGACCCATGTCTAGCACAAAACAAGCCTGAGGGAAGGGCAGAGGGGACCAGAAACTGAGACTGGGCCTCCCTGGACAAGTGGGGTGCCCAGAGTGAGCTGGAACAGAGGGTTGTGTGCACCTCTGGGCTCCCCAGTACAAAAACACCATGGATGTACTGGAGTGAGTCCAGCAAAGGGCCACTGAGATGATGGAGGGTGTGGAGCATCCAAGGAGGGTCTGGGAGTCAAGTGTGGTACTGAGAAGGCCCATAGGAATCTGACCTGTGGGTATAAACACCAATGGGAAGGCACAGAGGAGACTGAGCCAGGCTGTTTTCAATTGTGCCCAGTGACAGGAAAAATGTAATGGACACAAACTGAAGAAAACAAGAAATTCAATTTAGACTTTACAAAATCCTTTTTTTTTTTATTGTGATGGTGGCCAAGCACTGGAACAGGTCACCCAGAGAGTCTGTGAAGCCTCCATCTTTGGAGCTTTACAAAAGCCAGCTGTCCTGGGCAGCATGCTCCAGCTGGCCCTGCTTTGGGCAGCACACTGTGACTAGAACATCTCCAGAGGTGGTGCCAGCCCTTCTGTGCTGCTGTCATGCTGTCACTCTGGTGGGGGACAGCAAGGCTGAAAGCAGCAGAGGCACTGGCAGAGGATGTGGGACATACTGGGGAGGACATTGGGGCAACCAGGGGCAGCTGCTGGCCCCAGAGTGCTGTCCTGCTCCTGCACTGAGGCAGCACGGGCAGCTTGAGCTGGGGGTGCCAGGGTGATGTGAACCCCACAGAAACCCAGCAGAGATGGCCCTGGGCTGCTGGGGAGGGACAGGCCTGTGCAGCCATCTCAGTGCCCCCTTCACCCCTGGTTCATGTGGTGTCTTCACAGAATTCACTTTATTAACTTACAATATATAAAAGAAATGCACACACACAGAACTCAGAATGAAAACTTTCTGAAAACATTCCTCCTCCCTTCCATCCTGCAGGGGCTTTCACCTCTTTTCTCTGTCCAAGGCCTGATCTACCTCACTCTGGCCTCATGGCTTCCCCTCTCCCACACAGCCCACAGCTGGGCACGGGAGCTCTGACCTCTTTCACCAACTG